TGAGCCCCGCCTGGGATCTGCCACGAAACTTCGGGACATCCAAGCAGAGGCTCTAGACGTTTGCTTAGGGTTTAGGGTTTAGGGTTTAGGGTTTAGGGTTTAGGGTTTAGGGTTTAGGGTATATGTACTCCTGCAACACGGCACATCTCTGAGATTGTGGAAGCTGACGAGTTTGTTGAGGTTGTATATACGCCTCCCATGCCAGCTAGACTGTAAATTGTAAAGGGATCAAGCATATGGGTAGTTCTCTAAGATATGATCCCTTTTTAGGACCCCAATATAGTACGGCACCCTTATAATAAGGACCCTAAAAGGGACCCTAATTTTAGAAAACCACCCATATGCTCTCTTGATGAATTAAGTGATGCTGCGCTCGGCGACCGGGCTTCAGGTTGCCGCGCAAGCGTCGCAGCTTTCATAGTTCAGGTTTAGGGGTTTATAGGGTTTCGGGCTAATGGTCTTAAGGGTTTAGGGTGCTGCGGGGAATTCGGGAGTTCGGCTTTCGGGCTTGGGGTTAATGGCCAAGTGTCCCATTACTGCCTATAAAAACGTATTCCAATTTTCGGTTATACAACCGAACACGAACATGAATAAATTGAACTTCCTCTAAGTTTGCGCTGCGATTTAGGACTTAGGACTGCAGTTTTTGGATTCGTAACCCCCAAACCCCAAATCCTGCAACCCTAAACGCCAAATCCCTAAAGTAGTTTGCCTCGTGCTACCAAGATTCCACTTCCCTCCTTGCTGGCATGCGCTCATCGCCGCGTTGAAAGTGACCTTGCGGTGGGATTTCGGTTAGCCGGTTATACGGAAACGAAACCCTGTGTATGGGGCCTTTATGTTTGGAAGGGCTTATCATGTGCACATTATCCTCGATTCGGAATCTTCGACTCTCGCTGAGATCCCAAAAGCACGTTTACATTCCCCTCTACCATAGGATCCTGACTTGTAGTGATAGCAAAATCCCGAAAACCCCCACCCTATAATACAGGGGCTTCAAGAATTAGAATAGGCTTTTGGGGCCCTTTATACTATACTTATAATAAGGAACCCGCAAAACAGTGTTGGTAATTATTTGGGCCGGCCCTTATATTAATGTGACGGGGGGCCTGATCCGCCAGCTGCCGCATAGCGAACATGTCATGAAGGATTTGCAGCGCCATGGGCCACTGCGCAGCCTTCTCACCTGGTTTGCGACTGCGGGACCTCGAAAACCAAACACCAAAAACACAATCCCGAAGACACGACCATAGAATCTTGCGAAACAAAAGGAAACCTACACAATCAAAACCCTCATTTCAAATCTTCACGCCGCACACGGTTTCTAGACCATTTCTTCATCGTGTCTGTATCATTTGCGTTTATGGTTTATTTATCGTGATTTTTTTATTCGTTTATTCCTCGATCAGTGACTTGTGGGTGGGATGAGCGGGGAAAGGGATGCACAGGGCGACTGTCCTTCGAATCAAGGACACAGCAAACATGCCAGAGAGCCCAATACCCCTTAATTAAGGAATAGAGCTTCAATCATAACGTTGAGCCCCTTATAGTTTAAGGTATATTCCTTTAAGGAATATAAGTTAAGTCATAATATTAGGCCCCTTATCGTTTAAGGAATATTCCTTAATTAAGGGGTATGGGGCTCGCTAGGATGCTACATCTCTCACGCCCCAGCCACTTTGGCCCTGGGTTGCGCGGGGTCGGGACGGCGGGAGTGGGGCCGCGAAGGGGCCGGCGCGCCTTCCAAAAAAGGAAAAATGTCACTCTTACTGGGCTGTTATGAATTTATCGTATATTTATTTTTTTCTTTATTTTTCATGTTTCATCATCTGTTTATCGTTTCTTTATCAGTTATCATATTCTTATCCTGCCGAATTCGGCGTCTCGTTTTCTTTGTCGTTTCGGATTGGGGTATCGTTTTAACTGTTGTTTTGTTTCTCGTTTCGCATTCGGGGTATCATTTCTTTCTCATTCTGGGACTGGTCACGGTCTGGGGCCTAATGCCAGTATTTGCCAAACTTGTGCCTGTTCGCCTTGCCCGCGGGCTTGACAAGGTTTGATAAGCCGGCAATGGATTTAACTCTGCGCCTAAAGTAATGTCGATCGGACAACAACGAAAAAATCATAACCCTCCAGAAGCAGGTTCAGACACGACAAAAACGCTCATGCTGCAATGGTAAACAGCAACCCTACCCAAATGCTAAAACAAACGATAGAGACACCTATATTCATGTCCCAAGTGTCTACAGGAATGAATCTTTTAACCCGGAAGCTGCTGGAAACTCGTTCCTTGTTGAACTCGGATTACGAGGGCGAAGCTCGGCGCACATCAACCGCACGGGAACAAGTGGGGTTTTCCGAAAATAGGGGACCCTAATATAGTACCCTAAATCATAGGATCCCTACTATGAGGACCCCAAAATAAGGTACCCCGAATTTTCTGAAACTCCCAAGTCTCTAAGGCCTTCGGTGGTCAAGCCAAGTACGCAACTAAGTTGGTTTCAACTCACCCTCAAACCCTGTGATGGCCCCTTTGTAGACCCGCCTGTCCTTCTTCCATTCACCCTCACACCCTGACATGGTTGCTTTGTAGACTTACCTGTCCTTCGTACACCAAGTAACCACCCTGCCTTGGAAACCCGAAACCTCGGTCGATAGGGTTTGCACAATGCTGTAAAACCAACATCCTTGTACAATCCCATACAATGTAGGGCCCGAAATAAATACTTATACTATTGTGGGAGCTCCTACTTATAATTATAGTATAATGGGCCCTGAAACCCTGTTCTAATTCTTAAGGCCCCTACATTATACTGTGTCGGGGTTCCCCAGGTCAGTAGAACCTACCTGCGGATCCGAAGGCCTACTGATTTAAGCTTTGGGCCCTGTAGTTAAGGGGTCGCAACCCCATAAACCCTAAAACCAAAAGCCCTACTCGAGACTCTGCCACTATGTGCCGAAGCCCGGGTCGCATGCACTGAGAGCGGCATTGAAGCAAACCACATCCTGATTTTTATGGTTAGGGTGTAAGGTACAAGCCACATCCGGGTCTCTATGTTTATGGGCAATGCGTCCTGTAGGGGTCTGATTTCTAGGTTTCACAGAGCAGATCCACAACTAGGGATTCAGAAGGGTCTTCACTGTTGCTATGGCTTCGTCGAAGGTTAATAGAGTCGCACAAGGGCTTTCTGACGGTTGTGTAGGTTGCAAAGTTTTATGCGTGTCTTGCTCATGAGCTTACTAGAAGTGGCCATAAGAAATCAGTTCCTACACGTTCCTACACACCGAGTAACCTATATAGTAAGCTCTTTGACACTAGTTTGACCATACATAACCTACCTCATGAATATACACGGAAACCATAATAAGGAATCCTAAGCGGATCGGGCCCAAGTACATGTTATGCAGTTTAATTAAAGCCCGACAGGGGCCTAAACTCTAAACCCTAAAGCTCGCTGTAAAGTTATGAGTGCGTGGAACTCGGATCCTCATATGGGTTTAGGGGTTAGGGGTTTACCCGATTTGTGTGACCCAAAACTTCCTATGACAGGGAGACAGCTCCCTCGAAGCAAGGCGGCCATGGTTTGCGACGCCGTTGCATGCGCCGTTACGAAGTTGTGAGCATCCCATATCAAATCAGGCATAAACCAACAGCACCCTGATAAGCCCCTACAAAGCGCCTTTGATAATTGATAACCCAATAAAACTGAATCATAAGCCCTTGCCAAGCAGAAAAAATTCTGAACCACACCGACTAAAGCCGATAAGCCCTTCTACAGGCGTATACACACCCTACCAACACCTTTGTTGTACACCCGAAACTTTAGCAAATCCCCAAAACCTTCGACCTTAAACCCTACACCCAAACACAAGAAGAGCCGAGCATCCGCAAGCAACCGTCTGGACGGCAAAGACCCAAGCAACCCAAGGCCCAACCTGGCCAGGTTGTTTTTTGCGGCTTGGGGGGGCTTCTGGAAATGCTCCTTTGAAGGCTCCCGTTCACGGTTTTGGATTTTGGAATTTGGGGTTTGGAGTTTCGATGACTGGGGTTAAGGGTTGATGGTTTTGCACCACATACTTGACATCATTGAAATGGGATCGATTTCGATTGTTTCAAACAGTATAGTTGAAATTGCCTCGCTTCAGCATGTTGGTGACGGCACAACATTTTGGGCACCAAAAAATTAAACAAAAACGTGAAATATGCGCGGTTTCAATTATGTCCAATCACAGGGGTGGAGAGGCCCCCAGAAGGATAAGAGTCGGGATTTCAAGTTTCGTAAACATTTCAACAATAGTGGGAACCCAAAAGAATTGAACTAGTTGGAATCGGCCCCTTATCCATCCATTGGGGGTGGGTTCCCACGTCATTAAAGTATTTCAATTATCGAAATAATTGGAATAAAAATCTTTATCCTGCATTAGGGTGTTTCAATTCTTCCAAAAAGTTTGGTCAAACAGTTGAAATAGTTCATTTGCGTGTGCTGGCAGCAAGATTCAAAGACCAAGTAAAGATCAAACTTTCTGTTCCTCACAAGAAATATTGAAGTACGCCGTACCTTATGTTCCTCTCTTGGCAAGAAGCAAAAGATCACTTGGTTCATGCAACCAAATAGCCAGACTCATTTCCGCAATACTAGAAACATAAAACTAGAGAGCTGCTACATCGTTCAACAAGACATGAAATGGCTAGTGTCTTCTTGCCTAACTAAGCCTGTTCCCATCTTCATATCATAAAAGGAAGTTGTTTTGTCTCTCTGTATTCACAAGACAGAAAGAGCTAGCTAAGCCTTTCAAAACCATGAGCAGGAATGAAAAGGCTCCTTCAGTTGATACTCCAAAATACAAGAGGAAGATTTTGCAGTATACAATGTAAGCGCCCCTTTATCTATGAGGGGGGTACGAAAAATCAGCAAGGACTGTTATAATGTAGAACCCAAGCCTCGACTAGCTTTGAAACTCAGCACATCTATACAACAAGAACAACTATTAATCACAATAATAATACCGCTACTGGTACTGCTGCAA